TGCAGAAAGTATGAAGTTGTTTATTACAAAGTGTTCATAATAATGCCTTCATTTCATGTGCTCATTGTAAACAATTAATTAGTCTTAAAAATTGTATTTTTTCTTTACATTTACATTAAACCATAAAAAAGAAAAACCTTCAGCAGAATTAATCCCTTGATATTTCCATTCTGGCCAAAATGTTACCAATGGTATGAAGCACATCCAGGAAATAAAGAACACTTGGTTATAAAAAATAAAAAAACAGTAATGATAGGAAAGGGTTTTATTAAGTAATTAGTACAAGACCAGTTATTTTTCTACATAGTCACCATTATGATTTAAGCACTTATCATAGCGTGGCATTAGTTTTTGGATTCCTTCGTCATAGACTTTTACCTCCAGTTCTTTCAGTCAGTTAGTGACAGCTTCTTTTACCTTGTCATTCATTCTAAAATGTTTGCTACCCAAAAAGTCTTTCAGCTTGGGAAGAGATGAAAAGTCACTGGAGGCTAGGTTGTTGAAAATGTTCAGCAAAATTTCTGAAGTACAGCTAGAGTGGCTGCAGCAGTGTGTTGTCACATGTTATCTTCTTTGATTAAACGTCAAACACTATTTTCTCATACTTGCTTCATTCATATTGTGATCACAATACACTTATGTGATTTGCTTATGAATTTCTATAGGATGAACTTTCATTGCATTTAGAAAACAAATAACACTTCACATTTGGCAGGATTTTTGATTTTTATACACATTTTAACCCTTGTCAAAACAATAACAATAAGCCTGCTGTTATCGAAACATCTATGCTTGCTAAGCTAACACATCAGAGGACAAATTAATCTTCAATCAATGGCGGTCATTCACTTTCATAAAGTGCTATGTGCAAATATTCTTTATTTTCTGACCACCTCTTGTATTTTTCTATAAGAATTACATAAGAACATTTTAGAACCCTATTTCTTATGAATGACTGACCTGACAGATGAAAGAAAAAATATGCATTGTCTTATTTTTCTCCCTAATGAATGATATATATTTTATTAAAATGATATGAGAAAACCCTTCCTTGTGAGTATCTTTCTTAATTGGGTTCACCTCTCACTTACAACTTTCCTGTATTTTTGTCATTAGTTCTTCTCAATGTTTATTGAGTAATTTTTTTAATATCTGTATTATTGAAGTATTTAACATTGATCCTAGGTGTTTTATGCAACCTTCATCTAGTTTTATAATTGATTTTTACTCTGAGTCTGTAAATTAATAGAAAATGATTGCTGTTGCACTCCATTTCTCTGAAACACACCTTACTTGATATATTCATTTCTGATAGATTATGTAATGATAAATAAGATATCTTATTTGCCCTCTGACCATTGAGAGACAACCAGGTTTATTTATGAGCATTTTTAGACCTTTATACTGTTCACAGTCCATGGGAGATTGCTATATTAATCATTCTGTTTCCTTTATTATTTGCACTCATGTCACTTATCTGTGTTTATGTTAAAATCTTTGAACTATGGTAAGATGTCGTCCTATTAATTGTTTTACCCTGAGTGTCATAGAACTTATCCTTTATGTTTCCACTGTCAGTGTATATGTATAAACTATTATTAGGTTGTTTAAAGGTGTTGATTTTTATTTTATTGTGTGGTTCCAGTAAGAAAGTATTTTATTTATTATTAGGTTCATTCATATTCCTCAAATTCTTAGCTCACCAATATGTTCATTTATAAATTTAATATCCAGAACAAAATTTCAAATATTTTTTTAAAGTAAAATTTGTTTCAAATTCATGTTTGTACCAGCATGATGTACACATCAAATATTCTATGATTCTTTTCTTCCAGAATACTCTAAATTATTTAATTTAATTATAATTATTAAATTTAATAAGAGATGGCAACTAACACCTCCCTCTAGTGACAAATTATTTAGTAATTAATTTTAAATAATTGTGACATAATAGCTCAATATAATTCGGTAGTTGTTGGCTTATTACTTATGTAATATACATCAGGTTTGTAGATATTGGTTTATGTATATAGTCTATGATCTTATCTGTGTCCATCTTTTCAAGTCAAGATCATCTGTTTAGAACATAATAACACAAATTTGTTAAAATAAATCATATACAGTAAAATCTAAATCAGAAACTGAATAAAATGGAAACCTGTCTAAACTGAAAAATTCTTCAACTGAGTGATTTCTTATGTTATAAAAAAACCCACTTAAATGGAAACTTGTCGAATAGGAAAAAATATTCAGGACTGTGCTATTTCAATTTACACAGGTTTTACTGTGTAATATTTAGTAGTATAGTATAATAATACTATATATTATTTTATGTAATTAGTAAAACAGATTTTTTAAAAATCATATAATATTTCAAATTTAAAAATTTTTTCCTTTTCTGCTATTGTAAATGTATGAAGATAATAATTTTTATGTTATTGAAAGTACAGTAGAGCATTGATTATCCAAAACAATTCAGGACTGGGATTGTTCGGATAAGTGCTTTTTTTGGATAACTGATCATTTATGAAAAATATATTAAACACAAAACTTTACTGTATATATTTTGTATCATATGTCTTACAAATACATATCTTATATAAAGTAGTAGATTAAAGTAAGCCTACAGTTAAGGTTGGCAGGGAGGGAGAGAGTGCTGCAGCGCCACAGCACTAGTGGAAATTTGAATTTGCTGATTGGAACACTTTCGGTTAACCAATGTTTTGGTTGATTGGTATTCAGATAATCAATGCTCTACTGTATTTGCACTGAATGTACAATTTAACTTAACAAATTTATGATATTTTTTTTTATATGTAAAAGATATAATACTAAAGAGAGTTTTAGAATACACATCAGTGAATAACTGTGTGTTGGTCTTCAAAAATTTCTTCATAATAAATTGTATTGCAAGTGCAAAACAGTTACATTTTATTTTGTTCAGATGTATTTTTCTCAGAACATAACACATGTTTAATTCATTGAATACTTATTATTTTCTAGATTTCTAGATAACATTGTTTATCATTCNTAATAGATGAGATAATTTTCCTGTAGATTTTATCAGTATTATTACACATATATCATTGACATGAAGAAGGAATCAGATCTGTTTGTATATTCTAACATATATAAATATAATTACAGCTCATGTGCTTAATCATACATATATATTTGATATTCCAAGAGTTAAAAAACATTGTTGTTTTAAAAATATTCTAGATATTATATACAGTACTTATTTCTTTGATAAATCTTCAAAGTTTTTATTAATTGTTTCTTTATTTCTAGTACTTGATTTTTATACATTATATATTTATTATTTATTCAGTTTGATGCAAATTTTGTATCTTAACTATAGAGAGGTTAAGAATTTTTTGTTTTTGATAATTATCCAATTTTTATCATAGTAATAGTGATGGAAGTTGAATATTATTAATTATTTTTTTTCCAAAGTATTTGAATTATTTTATTGTTTTTTCATTCATTTTATTAGTTTTTGGCCATCTTTTCTATCTGTAATATATGGAAAGATCTTTCTAAATTTCTTTACAGATTTATCTAGTTTAAGTAAATTTATTCTGATAATTTTGAAAAGTAAGGTAAAAAATTTTCAGTTTAACACAGTTTATAATTGCATTTGTATGAATGCAATTATAAAATTTCAATTGTGTAAATTTTATTTATATTATTGTTATGAATTTGAAATCCATTGTATAAATTAGCATTGTGTTATCAATCAGCAGTTATTCCAATTCAGAAACTTTGCTTAAAACTATGTAGTGCTTCAAGTGCTTCAACAGTTTCTTGTTAATTGTTACTTAAATTAAATATATATATATGTAATTTATGTTTCAATTACAAGTTCTCTGTAAATGGTCAATTGTATAAAACAAAATTTTGATCATTGTTTTGTATAGAATATTTCTTAAATTGTTAGATGATGTTAGAAACATAAATGTACATGATTATATAAAATGTATTTCTAATGTCAACAATGATTCCCATATAAATAATAAGAGTATTACTGTTGTAAAATATCTTATTACTTTTAAAGATGTATCTGTAGCAAAAGTATATTGCTCATCATTTTTTCAAAACTAATTGTACAATTGTTGTTGTTACCTTTTTATTTTTTTTATATTTTTTTTAAAGAAAAGTTAGTCAGTGCTTTACTTTTAAAGGTAAAAAATGAAATATTTTAGGTTTATTTTTAATCCAAAAATCTTCAAACCAATTTTTGTGATATATTGGTTGTGTGAACTCATTTTCATTACTTCAGTTAAATTATTATAAATATTTACCATCTTCTATAAGAAAAATAATAATAGTATCGTATGTGAAAGAACATTCCTTCATTTAATACGAAGATACTTATATTGTAAAAAATATAACACTTTTAAAAATTTGAACTGACTTACAACTATAATTTTACGTACAATTGATGTTTCTGGGAAAAGATGATTGTATATATCTTTGCTATTATTGTAGAATAGAGATTGAGATAATTTTAATTTCACACAGTAAATCTTCTGCAAAAATTGGTTGAAAGAGGATAATTTTGAATTAATTGAAACTACCAGAACTCTATTATTTTATTCAATACTATGCATAATTTTAAAATTTATACTTCTAAACCTTCTTTTAACAAAATTGAAAAATACAGAAAGTAAAATCTTGTTAAATACAATATGAATTTAGGAAACTATTAAATTTTAGAATTTGTAAGTATTAAAATGGATATTTTGATTTTTTAATAAATAAATAAATAAAAACAACAAATCAAACAGCATATTTAGACAGTAAACACTATAATAAGGAAGGAGTCTGATAGGAAAAAAAATATATATTTGAAATTTAACTAGGTTTGAATTTCTGTATTTGATGTTTATTAATGTCTGTTATATTAAACAAAATTTTATAATTTAGAATTTTTTTTTTGTTAAATTTTTTAACTTTATTTTTAAAAAAAATTTACATTATTATTCTTGTTCTAACAGTAATACTGGTAAAAGGCTGATGGCTAAATGCAGACTTTTGTACCAAGAGAATGAAGAATTGGGAAAGATGATATCATCAGGAAGGATGGCTAAGTTAGAAGGAGATTTAGCTCTGCAGAGGAATTTCAGTGAAGCCATGAAGAAAAGCCAGGATGGTAAAGTTTTTTTTTCCTTCTTTGATTTATGTAAAAATAGAGTAACAAAATAAATATAGAAGACCTGTTCAAAAAGTTACAGGAATGGATCAAAAAATTAAAATAAATCAGGATATAAAGAAATTTATTCAATATTTTTCAAAAACAACGAATTTGAAATGATTTCTCTGATTCAGGAACATTTAGAAACAATCGGCTTCTTACGGGGATTGAAAAATTTTCTTCAGTTTGTCTTGTATGAATGAGTTCTGTTAATTCAAACAATTTTTCTTTACATTTGGAATTGCTATTATTCCATAGCCACCCTTTTTATTCACTCTAGCACTTAATGATTTTTTTAAAGTGTTTTCAACTTTGGGATAAAGAAAAAGAAAACATTTCAGTACAACTTATTTAAGACAAATTGAAGAAAATTTTGTGATCCCTGAAACAGACTGATTTTTGTAATTGTTTCTTAAATAGGAGAAATTGTTGCAGATAATATATTGAAGTTCAGAGTGATTATTTTCAAAAATATTAAGTAAACTTCTTACTATCCAAATACATTTTGAGTTTTTGACTCATTCCTAGATCTTTCTCATACACCTCTTATAATTTACATTTTTAACTTTAACTGATGACATGCTTTTAATTAAAATATTGATTCAATTTAGACAAAGAAAAAATTATTTACATATAATAAAATTCTCAGTTTTGTTTTATAAGTAAGCAATTTCCATGATCAGATAATCCACTAACCACTTAAGTTTCCTGACCAACACAAAATTAATTGCAACAAGTATTTTTAGTCTTTTAAAAATGCCATTGTTACATGTTAAGTACAAACAATGTCATGCACAAACAATTTAAAGTACTACTCATTTTAAAAAATGTTGATAATCTACGTTAAAGAAGGAAATTCTAATAAGTAATTAAAATAAAGGAATAGAGTGTATATTATAACAAAAGTAAAAAATATAAGTTTATGTATGAATGCATGTAGGATAAGAGAGCAACCAGAACCATGTGGACAGAAGTATCAAATGAAAAGTTTATTTGTGAGAAGTAGAGTAAGGAATTTAACAATACTTTGAATTTGATAAAGTACCACCAAACTAATAAACTCTTAGTGTTGTCTCAATCACCACACATCACTTAATATTTAATGCAGTGTTATCTCATTGCTTTTATTTAAGCTTAATGTTATGATAACTAGAAATATCTTACATTATAGAACAGAGAATTTTTTCAATGGAAAGTTACATAAAGAAAAGTAATTGAGAATTAAGATGATGGTTTATGAAAATATCTCTAATCAACTATAATACTTTGTTTATAAACTTTTGAATACAAGGTGGTCTATGAATTTGTGTGTAACAAAAAGAATTGTAAACAAAAATTTAGCCAAACATTCAGGTCTTCATAGAAGTGAGTTCCACAAAATCTTTAAGATGTTTTGTTCAGTTAGCTATAAAAGTTCAGTTTTGAACTTTATAAACTTAGGATTGTTCCAAAACTTTTTATTTATTTAAAGTTTTATATTGTTTTTAGATTCCATAGTTTATTTACTTATTTATTAGTATTACTTAGTTTATTCCTTAGTTTATAAATATTCAAGATTTTAATATTTCTTTTCATGCATAGCAGGGAAGTAAAGTGTTTCCAGCTTAGTGTTGCAAATCTGACTTGTGGCATTCCCAAACTCATACTTCTCATCAGTAAACTTTTTGTTTGATCACTCAGCACGAACACATATAGAGTAATATTAAATAAAAATTAAACAATAGAAGTTTACACATGTTATTTTAATCTATATTTATATAAGTTTTCAATGTTTAATTTTATTCAATCTCTCTTCTTATGTATTTGTATATACACCTCTGATTGTTATGTCATCTTATGTGCATTCATAAGCTTGATTTCTGTATTTAAATTAGCTAGTATAATTCTATTTTGTTAATGTATTCTATAAGAAATTTTAAAATATTTTTATATGGTTAACTGTCTGACATTAGCCTTTTAAAAAGTCAGGTTTTTATATGTTAATCATACAAAATCGTACATAGTACATAGTACATTTTTATATGATTATTTGATACTAGTTTCCTGTTTGTAATTTGGTTTGATCATCATCATCATAATTTATCTGTAAAATTATATTCTAAACTATTTAGAGAAACAACAAAATAACCATCTGTTTCTCTAAATGTTTTACACAGAAGGCTGTAAAATATATTTTACAATCTTCTGTAATTATCTCACAACCTTCAAATTATCTTTGAGAAATAAATTTCAAGCAGTATTTCTCATAGAAAGTAAATAATAAGTTTTGAAAGAGATTTTTATGACTAAGTTTTTATCATTAGAAGTTTATTAATAATAATTAATAAATTGTTTGATAATAACTTTAACTTGGCTGTAAAATTTTCAAACATCTGTGAAAATAAAAGAATTTAAACATTAAAAGTTCCTTTTAACATTTACTAAAAATTCTGAAAATTTCAGAATAGTACAGAAAATGAAAACATTATTTTTATTAATCATATTTTTCCTGGGAAAATTACTAATCATATACTAAAATTTTTAACATTTTAGTAAATGTTTCTAAATGGAATTAAGTTTGCAGTGATGTAATTATACTGTATATAATTAAGTACACTTTATAAATTCTGGCTAATTAAATTGTCTAAATTGAAATTATAAAAGCAGTATATAGTTTAAACTTGTTTTATCAAATTACTATTTAAATTAGTAATTAATTACAGAAAAATGTGGCTTTATAATAATTATTATTTAAAATTGATTTTNTTTATAATAATTTACATTTTTTAAGATAAATTGATGAAACAATTTCTCTTAAAACTTTATGAAATAGATCTGCTAATTATTTCAGTTTGTGTTAATGCATAGTATTAACTACAGAAATTAATTTTAAAAGAATGAAACTTTTACTTAGAACAAATTAGAAATAATCAAATGAAATTAATTACAGGAAGATCCTGCTTACTGTGGTTAATGTATTCCAGGAAATTACCATATAATTGAATATGCACTAGTCAAGGAGTATATTTAATAAGAATAATGACAGTCCATTTGAAAAGGAAATTTTTTTTCTACTTAAAATATAATTGAAGGATTCAGATGTAAAAGATGATACCATTTCCATTAGTACTGTACATTATAATGTGTACTGACAACTGAGCAACAGTGTATTTTAATTTAAATATTCTATCACTTTTTAACTTTAACCTGCACTTTATTCTGATTAAAGAAAACTTCTCAAGACATTTAATTTTTTCGTTTTCTCCGAACTTTCATTATGGAACTTAACATTTTTTACATCTGAATCCTTCAATTAGAACTTAATAACGGATTTATGATCCATAATTAAGTTCTAATTGAAAAACTGAGGAAGAAATGAAAACATAAATTTTCATCACTTTATTTTACAACTAAATTTTTAAATATATTTTTTTATTAAAAAGTTATTCAATGTGTTTGAATCATCATTGTTATCATATGAAGCTTGCTGAATTGTGTTCAAAATGCTCTTTGTGCATTAATGCAGTGTTTTTCATTTGGATTATTAATTCAAAATTATGGTAGAAGCAGTCTGTACTACTAAAAACATTTTTCAAGTTTTTTTTTTAAGCTTAAAAAATTGATTGTCCATGTTGTCAGTTCAGTTCTTCTCAAGCTACTTTGGTAATATTGTTGCCAGCAGTGTGTAGTACAGTATTTTTTTAATTCAAGGTTTTTAGTCACTAAACAGATATTTGCAAGTATGAATTTCTTTCCAGTTTTTAAAAGCTTTTAACTTTTAAAGCTAAAAGTTTTTAAAATATACAACTTTTTATTAAATAAATTTATAATATAAGCGTTTAAGATAGTTTTGATCTGGTTTTTTTCATTTACTTAATTTTTACCATTGTGTTTTAAAATGTATTTGTGTGTACAATTAAAAATTCTTATATACACAGGGGCAGTCAAAAAATACAGTGAATTTTGGCATAGTTCATCACTTATCAGAAAATGGCAGAAGTTCTATGCTGTATTTGCATTGTTTCTATCATCTTTGCATATCTAGTAAGTTTTGAATTTGCTTGTCTCAATCACTCAGTGTTTAGCTGATGGTTTATGAAGGCAGGTTTTTGAAGTGTGTTTTAAACTGCAGAAAAGTGCCAAAGATACTCACAATGTGATGATGTTACTTTGTGAAAATGCTGCAGTGACTTTAAAGACAGTTTACAACGATTTGAGCATTTTTGCAAAGGATGTGAATCGGTTTAGGACCAAAAACAAAAGATGAGATGCCTCTCAGCATCAAAAAAACTGTTGAAAACATTGAATAAGTCAATCATATGATTCAATCAAATAAACAATTCTTTACATGAAGAATAAAAAAGCATCAGTTCAACATCAATAAAACAAGTATAATATCGCATTACCCCAGTTTGCTAGTAAGTTGTCTTCGTGTTGGGACCAGACAAGAATTATAAAGAAGATATATGACAAGCAAAACTAAAAACATTGGAAATGGTGGAGATCAATAACACAAAAATTAAGGACAATTACAATTAATTATAAAGTTAACGAAGGTATTAGTATACTATGTCTCTACATGGAAAAAATTTAGTCCCTAGACTGTCTCCACATTAAAATTTTTTTAAATTTTAAATTTTTTATGAAAATTTATTTATACAAAAAATACAAAAGTTTTGTTAGAAAAAATATTAAAAAAGTCAAAAATACATGAAATCAAAGGAAACTGACGATGAGTTGTCTCAGCCAAAATATCATTGAATGGATAATTTTTCCATCAATACAATAATTCTTTATTTTGTTATTTAAAAAACTAAATAAATGAAATAAAGGCAATAAACTTCTGGCAACATTGTCAGCCTTTACTTTATTTAAAAAATGAAAAATTAAAACAAAAATTTTAAAAATTCTAATGCGGAGACAGTCAACCACAGGATTAGGTTTTTTCATATGGAGACATACTATACTAATAACAATAG